TTGTTACTGTTTCTCACTATCTCGCTACTGTTTATTATTACTGTTACCTTTTCTCTCTTTCTTTCAACATTGTATATCGGGTGGTGTATCTAGCCACACCGAGTCTGTACTTGTGAGAAAAAATATGTGTGATTGTAATTTAAGCACTCTGCCGAGTTACTGCCCAGAGGAGTGGAAATTATTTTCAAGTTATTGCAAGTGTGTTATGTAAGTATTTTCAATTGATCTTATGCAAGCAAAAGTAATATTTTGTTTAAAGACTAGGACTACTACTTATGTTTATCATTGATATATCTCCCTTTTTATTTCTTATTTGTTTAGTTATTTTTGTACTCATAAAATTTGTGTACTGATTATTGATAGATAGATTAATAGTTATTCATGATATTTTACTCATAATAGTCGCTCATAGTTCAAAATTAGATCTTGGTGTCTTCTTGGTATCAGATAATTATACAAATAATTGGGAATATATACCTAAACTAGGAAAACAAGTATACATAAAGTTGTGGGATGTATACGAGAATAAGGACCTTGAACCAGATAATATAAAAATGAAGAAAATTCCAATCCCAACACCAGGGGCAGAAGTTAATGATATGACTGACTATATAAATAGAATGAGACAACAAAATCCAATGGCCACCAGGGAAGAACTGAAGAAAAAACTGTTACAATTATTTGATGAAGAAGAAGAAGCCATGTCCACGTCTACACAGAATGAAGAAGATTATGCTCAAGAAAATGAAGACGGTGGGCTCAGCCAACCTCAACCCTAAACCGGGCCAATACAGAGACGGGCCAGGATCGGCTGCCGACACACCTTTCACTATGCCACCGACAAAATAATGCTACCGACACACCTTTCACTATGCCATCAACAATATAATGCTGCCTTTCGTCACCTCAAGTCACTATGCTGCTGCTTTTCGTCACCTCAAGTTACTGTGCTGTTGTTTTTCGTCACCTCAAGTTACTGTGCTGTTGCTTTTCGTCACCTCAAGTCGTTGTTCACCTTTTGTGCTGTCGTCCGTGATTATGAAGAAGAATGAATAAGCCTTCAAGTCCGCGGCTAATAAAAGGAGGAGGATGGATAGAAGCAAAGCATCAGAGTGCTCTCCCCCAGTAGCCTTTCTCTCTCCTCTCCACTCTACTCTCTCTCAAAGCTCTCTACTTTCTTTCTCTATTCTTCTAAGCTTTCTCTTCTCCACTCTACTTTCTCTTAGGACTCTCTGCTCCTCAGAGCTCTCTTCTCTCTCTGCTCTGCTCATCAGAGCTCTCTTCTATTCTCTCTTCACTCTCCTCGAAGCCCTACTCCTTCTACTTCTTTGTTCTTAAAACATTTTGTGCCACTCTTTGCGCTCTTAGCCACCTAGCCACTCGCTGTGTTCTCAGTCACACTCTCATCTACTTCTCAGTCACACTCTAATCTGTTTCTCAGCCACACTCTCATCCATCTCTTAGCCACTCTGTGCTCTTAGCTACTCTCAGTAACCTCAAGCCATCTCCTTGTTTAACTATCATTACTCCTTCTATAACCATGCCGTCACTCTGCAAAACCTATACTGCTACACTCCGTACTCTGTTAACTACTCTTACTATTCCTTTCTCACTCTCTGTCTACTACTCGTACTATTCCTTTCTCACTCTCTCTCTCCTGTTTATAATTACTGTTACCTTTTCTCTCTTTCTTTCTACACTGTATATCGGGTGGTGTATCTAGCCACACCGAGACTGTACGTGTGAGAAAAAATATATGTATGATTGTAATTTAAGCACTCTGCCAAGTTACTGCCCAGAGGAGTGGAAATTATTTTCAACTTATTACAAGTGTGTTATGTAAGTATTTTCAATTGATCTTATGCAAGCAAAGGTAATATTTTGTTTAAGGACTAGGACTACTACTTATGTTAATTGGTTTATCATTGACATATCTCCCTTTTTATTTCTTATTTGTTTAGTTATTTTTGTACTCATAAAATTTGTGTACTGATTATTGATAGGTAGATTAATAGTTATTCATGATATTTTACTCATAATAGTCGGTCATAGTTTAAAATTAATCTTGGCGTCTTTTTGGTATCAGAGCCAATAGATTTTACAGTGGTGAACTGTAGCTGAAAATACTATTCTAAAGGCTAAAAGCTTAATACAATTTATCATTCAAGATAAGTCCGAGAATTGAAACTAAAAGTCTTCGTGACCCGTACTGCCGAAAAAGGCCAAGAAGAGCCGCTGAAAAGGCACAAGGACTGTTTCCGACTGACTCAAGTATTCAACGGTTATCTTGAAATGGCAAATTTTATTAGGAGTTTATCCAATAGAACATCCTCGTCATCTAACAGTACATTACGAGTAAAAAATAAAGAAGAGATAATTATAGATAATATTGAAAAGCAAATACAAAATTGGAATATACCAAAAGTTCCTATAACTGATATCTATAAAAGAGGAACATTTGAGTTCAAGTCTAGTTATGTTATTAAAACTGTAGAACAAAGTATATCTATTACAAACGAACAGGAAAGTTTCCAACTTTTATCTGAACGAATGATTCAGAACCATAAATCTAAAGAATATAAATATTTACATATAGGATATACAAATAGCAATAAAACCTTTAACCTGACTAGGTTTAAGTAATTCTATATTATTATGCCTGAGAGATAGCCGCCATAATAAATTTTCAGAAGCCCTTCTAGGAATAATTGAATCTAGTCTTTGTATATATATATATGGGCAGTGATTGCATGCAACAGTTGTATCATAGTATAATGCAACGACACTTCTAAAACACCATGTTTGTGGTATTTGTATGACCCAATATTTTGTGCACACACTCTCTGCATCTCAATAATCAATCCCAAAAAAAAAAAAAGATTCAATTTGAACCTTTGATATGGTCAAAATGAGTCCCTCCTAAAAACGAATATAGACCATTCAATTGGTGAATTTCAAGATCTTAGCCTTTATAATCTCAAAATCATCTTTTTCTTTTTTAACATTGCTCATCTAATGATAATAAATCCATCCAAAAAAATTGAAAATGAAACAATCCTTCAATGACCTAGATCTAAACACCTCACCAAAATGAACGGCCCATGTTAATTGAGCTAAAATAATATTTTCTAGGTTGTGTTTTCAAATTTTTCTTTTTTGTGATTGTTTATTAGAATGAAAAGAGTGTATATTTCAAAATTTGGATCAAACAAATGGCCATAAGATGGTTTTTTAATGTTATTGCATCAGATTACTATACAATGATTGCATGAAATCATTGCCATATATATATATATATATATATATATATATATATATATAT